GTTTTTTTGATTGAAATTTATGATTTTTTTTAAATAATAAATATTTCAAGAGAAATCCTACTTGTTAAGCATGATGAATGTTAAAATCAATGCTTCTTGTCAATTAGCAAAATATCTCATTAACCAAATGTGCCGAAACTCTTAGAAAATAATCCATGAATGAATGAATGTACATTTACATCTCAGTCATTACCACTTGAGGTCAACCTAATTCAAGATGGCCTCCACAGCTGAATAGGCTTTTTTTTTATAGGAATGAGTTCATTAGTTTGTTTTTTTCTAAACCGTTTTTGAGTTTCTCTGCTCTGATCTCTGTTGTTGATAAGGCTGCAGACAACAGGTTACACACAGCCAAACATGTTCACCTGCAGCAGTGCTCAGCCTGTTTTATTTCTGACAGAATCCTCCTTTCTCTTCCACAGCACACACACACACACACACACACACACACACACGCACTCTACAAGCCCACCACGGGGGCGTCAGTGTGACCCAGTGAAGGAGGCAGCCTCACCTTAGTGATGTGCTGTGATGTCCGCAGAGGATCCGCTTCGAAGGTTCGGAAGGACGCGCGCGCTCTGCAGTGTTTAGATCAGCTCTCCTCGCGCTGCTGCTGCTGCTGCTGCTGCTGTTGCCATGGTTATCTCCATCTGCAGTCCCACCCCTCTGCCTCCTGCCTCTCTGAACTCCATCTCTCCCTCTCCGGGTTTTAATCCGCCAAAGTGCCGCAGYGTCTGGGTGCGAGTTCAGGAAAACGCTCCCGTTCGTCAGCCCCACTGTTTCTGTTCCGTCCGAATTATGGAGACTTTCACAAAGCTGATGTGTGCATGTGTGTGTGTGCATGTGTGTGTGTGTGTGTCCTGACGAACCAGCAGGTCGGGCTGACGTCACGTTCTCCCTCCCATCCATGAAGCGTCAAAGCGGCCAAAAGCTTTACGAAAACATGCGACAGATTATCGGAAAGAGTGCGCCTGACCGACAGCGCGCGCAACCGCGACACTGAAGCAGGATAATTGTTTTACAGAGTAATAGAAAACGATAGAGATGGCTGAAACTGAAAGATTGTGACAACAGTAAAACAACTGATGCATAACATGAAAYAAAACATATAAAATAGTCTAACAAAACAAAATAATGTTGACTTAATAAAAGGAACTTGTGTATGAAATAAATAATTGTGTTTCCCTGTCAGGGCATCCTGTTACAGCTGCACTTGTTCGTATCCCAGCTACTGGATATCTCTGAAGTGGGGGAGACCTGGGACAGTGTAAGGGATGGTTGCAACATGTGGTTTTTCTGCAAACAGAAACAAGCTAGAGCAGTGGTTCCCAAACTTTTTATCTTCTGACCCACAAAATATCCACGGCAAAAACGTGTGACCCCAAATATTACTGGTCTGAGTACACAAACTTTGTTAATAACCCTAAAAACACAGGCTTTTTGACAATCTAAACAGC